CGGCAGCCACTTTTTATGAATCGATCTGTAGGCTGTAGGCTTAATATATTTGAAAGGGGTGTCCGTAGCAAAAAGGAAACCTCTTTTTAACCAATCAGAAACAAGCATTCATCAACGTCATGGTAGAATAAATCTTAATATATATAAAAAAAATACTTTTTACATTAAGGGTTGCAGGTTATTACTCTTAATGAAGTTTTGTTTACATAAAGAGTAACACGTAACCCTTCATGTATTTTTTTTACATTGAGAGTAAACACGTAACCCTTCATGTATTTTTTTTACATTGAGAGTAAACACGTAACCCTTCATGTATTTTTTTTACATTGAGAGTAAACACGTAACCCTTCATGTATTTTTTTTTACATTGAGAGTAAACACGTAACCATTCATGTATTTCTTTTACATAAAGAGTAAACACGTAACCCTTCATGTATTTTTTTTACATAAAGAGAAACACGTAACCCTTCATGTATTTCTTTTAAAATTGAGAGTAACACGTAACCCTCCATGGTTTTTTTTACATTGAGTGTAAACACGTAACCCTTCATGTATTTCTTTTAAAATTGAGAGTAACACGTAACCCTTCATGGTTTTTTTTACATTGAGAGTAAACACGTTACCCTTCATGGTTTTTATTACATTGAGAGTTAACACGTAACCCTTCATGGTTTTTATTACATTGAGAGTAAACACGTAACCCTTCATGTATTTTTTTACATTGAGAGTAAACACGTAGCCCTTCATGGTTTTTATTACATTGAGAGTTAACACGTAACCCTTCATGGTTTTTATTACATTGAGAGTAAACACGTAACCCTTCATGTATTTTTTTACATTGAGAGTAAACACGTAGCCCTTCATGTATTTCTTTTACATTGAGAGTAAACACGTTACCCTTCATGGTTTTTTTTACATTGAGAGTAAACACGTAACCCTTCATGTATTTTTTTACATTGAGAATAAACACGTAGCCCTTCATGTATTTTTTTTTACATTGAGAGTAAACACGTAACCCTTCATGTATTTTTTTTACATTGAGAATAAACACGTAGCCCTTCATGTATTTTTTTTACATTGAGAATAAACACGTAGCCCTTCATGTATTTTTTTTTACATTGAGAGTAAACTCGTAACCCTTCATGTACTTTTTTACATTAAGGGTTGTCACAACACCGCACAAAGACTGATTCAGGATTTGAGAAATAATCGACTGAATGTCAGATGTAACATGTTGTCACAAAGCGACCATGTCCTGACCTTGGTGGAACCATGCACTGTATCAACTGTCAACTATTATATTCAGAGTAACAAGCATGGCAAACTTTATCGATCATGCCATTTGTGTGAAGTATAACGTAATTGACTAGTAGTGGTTTATTCATGTTGCAGTTTAAAATGATCTGTTCAGAAAAGCAGTAGAGTAATGTACAAATATTTTGTGTGTGTTGTGTTCGTGATCATTTACAGTTGAAAATCAATATTGTTACATTTGTATAGGGCTTGAAACGTTGTAACTTACACCAAAGAACCTTCAGACTATCGTCGTCACAACAAATCATTTCTTTTGCGGCAAACATGAAAAATACTATTCTTCGCTCACTTTACATCCACGTTGACGAAATAAGTTATTCATATGGAATATGTTCACAAAGGCACACCACAGTGGCGGATTATCACGCCTCACTTTGTGGGAATACGTTTAACTAAATAAATCATATGAATAGGTCCTGGCTGATGTGCTCTTGTTATGTTGTCCTGTATGTTTTTGGCCTCAAACAACAAATTTCTGGCATCAATAGCTTTGTTTTTTAGAGGCCTAATCAGGTGCCGAGTGTGGCCGTGGAGAAAGATTGCACGCCACAGACTCGGTTCTATTTCATGTGTAGACATCACTCCTTCCAGAGACCGTCATCACACTTGTCCGAACAATGCGGATAATCTAAAGTAGAAGCCAACGTGGGTTAGAAGGACCTTGTAACAAATTCTACCATGAATTTGGAAATTACTCGTTTATGACTGGTCAATCAGAGGCTATTAAATCACAATAAACCCCCTCTGATTGAAAGAGTTGGTTTGACGGCCGCATCACCGCGGAAGCTAATATTCACAGAAGATACTTTTTCAGTCATTGTCGGTAGGCGTATTTAAATATTACACCTTCAATTATAGTTAACAAAATGCAAAGTTGCGGCTACTGCAATGTTCAAAGGATGTGTGGCAATACATGTCGGGGAGAAAACACGAAAGAAATCTACAAAGAGAATGTATTTTAAGTTTTGGGGACAATAGAGCTTGGAATTTGGTGCTTTTCTATATACGACTGTGATGCTTCGCGTTCGGTTCACAGTTTAATTTAGTACGGCTTTATCTACAAGTAACCTTGCTCTACATTCAAAACACAGTATGTTTAACTTCTAATTACACGGAACTAGAAAGGTCCTATACATTTAAAATAAACTGTGTTTCTCTGTGTGTGTGTGTGTGTGTGTGTGTGTGTGTGTGTGTTGGTTTGTGTGGCTGCTTGTGCTAGTCCGGACTGATTTATAGTGCTAGCTCACTGAGATACCATGCCACGGTTTAACATGAATACCAAACTGAGACACTGTATACTGACTCCGAGCCGACGAGTCCTTGTTTTAGCCCCTTTATGCCAAGCGCCATTCAGGGTAACCACAAGTACCATCTTTTAACGTCTTTTGGTATGACGCGGCCGGGGATCGAACCCCGAACCTCCGGGCGGACGCTCTACCACAAGACCACCGAGGCGGTCAATCTCCACAGAAGGATATGGTGCCAATACTCATCTTGGCGTTATAGTAGTTTGTTTGGTCTTAACGCTGCACTTGGCAATATCCCATTCTCTCTCGCTTTGCTACGTCCATAAGATCATAAACGTGTAAATATAAGATTTTAAAGACACATTCAGTTCAAATAAATTTAAAAGACGGATTTAGAATCTATAAACCCGAACTGAATGGAACTGTAAACTTACCCTACACTCACAAATCGCAGTGGTACACTAACACTACGTTGAAGAAAGACAAGTTCTATGGATGAACCCGGGTCTTCGGCGTGACTAGCGAACGCTTTAACCACTAGGCTACCCGACCGCCCCGTATCTTGGTTGATGGGTTGATGAGTTGAGTGAGTGAGTGAGTGAGTGAGTGAGTGAGTGAGTGAGTGAGTGAGTGAGTGAGTGAGTGAGTGAGTGAGTGAGTGAGGGAGGGAGGGTGCGTGCGTGCGTGCGTGCGTGCGAGCGAGCGAGCGAGCGAGCGAGCGAGTGAGGTGTGTTATATCACGGCATGACAGCATAATGTGGGAGGAAATACCGAAGTGATGCAGGTCTCAGACGTTTACCACTTCGGTGAACCCCACGAGCACGGGTATGGTGCTGACAACCCAGAATCATAATCAGGGTGAACCGGGATTCGAACCCACAATCATAGGTTTCAGGCGTGCCTATGGGACGCAAATGCACAGTGAATTGAGGCGCCTGAGACGACTTTGCCACTCACCATCTATTTGAGTGTCACTTTACTCATTTACATGTGAGTACAATAATCGGGCCACCATGCGTCGGTCGAGGAGTCGAATCCTTTGTTCTGCCCCTATATCCCTGGTGTGTTCCCACAAAATACGACTTAAGCCAAAACAGTAATTTAGCTGGCCTTCTTGAAGAGCAGGAGGAACCACGCGACGGCCACATCGTCTTGAGAGTTGGTTTTGTTTTATTTAACAATGCACAACTGCAGTTGTATGAGAGCTTAATGAATTCACTAACATTAAATATCAATGTTATTATGTGCCTCGTTGTTACATGTGTAAATCTGTTTGCTGGTACTTTAACCCCAATCTCAGCAATATCGAAGCCATAATGGCAACGATCTTTCCGACCAGAAAACCAATGGTCGATATTATGAACGAGGTACTGATGACATGCAATCAACAAAATCACCAAGTCTGACCACACAATTCATTACGTCGCCTCGTAGGACATGTTAAGTGTGCGAAAACAGAAAGGTTCTTCCAGAATGCCTTTGGTGACAATCTGAGCATGGTCCTGTCGGGAAGGACACACTTGTGCTTCATGACTCTTTTCACTCTCTTCTGGGGAAATACTCACAAGCACGTTCTACAATGGGAAGACTAGCACCTAACGCTCTACTGCTTGTTGAAATTGGCGATTTGATTTGTCGGAAAGTTTTTTTTGTTTTTCGTTGCAGACAGCAATATTCCATCTATATTACAGCAGTGTGTAATCAATCAAGTCTTGACCAGACAAATGTTCACAAAACAGTGAGTGAGTGAGTGAGTTGGGTTTAACGCCGCTTTTAACATTATTCTATTTAAATAACGGTGTTTCAGCTTAATGTGGGAGGAAAGTGAGTGAGTGAGTGAGTGAGTTAAGATTTAACGTCACATCGGCAGTATTTCAGCCATATCGTGACGAGATAATGTGGGAGGAAAGCCCGAAGTGATGCAGGTCCCAGACGTTTACCACTTAGGTGAAACCCACGAGCACGGGTATGGTGCTGACAAACCTAGAAACATAATCGGGGCGAACCGGGATTCGAACCCACAATCAAGGGTTTCTGACGTGCCCAAGGGACGCAACTCAGCACAGAGAATCGCGGCGCCTCAGACGACCGGGCCACCCGTGCCCCCGTTCACAAAACAAACATTATTTTGACATATGTATGAATGTAATGATAAACAGTCTGTCTATTACTTACGTAAAATATAGTTTCAGTGAAACAAAAAAATCGAGGTCCCAATTTTTTATTCAGAAATCTGAAGTGATAATAGAATAGAATACAAATGAAAGCAGGGGGACCTCAGCAATATGAGGAGACAAAAAATACTTTGTAGGTCAGTGAGGTATATTTCCAAATCCTTTTATAGTGCCAGAGCAAATTTTCAAATAATCAAGTTTAGTGTTGAATGTCTGGATTTTGCATACCATGGAACAAGTGACCAGATAAAGCGGCTGGCGTACACTAGACAAACTCGTAGATGGAAATCCTCCAGTGTCCTCCACATATCGTGCTTCTGTCACCGGGACATTGGTCGTTGCATCCAGTGGCAAGTTTGATGTCCCCAGGTTTGACATTACCACATTGGCACGATTTTCCTGCCTGCAATCAGAAGCAGCATGTGCATCACTATATCTTTCTGCTTATTTGAAAACTGCAACACTACACCTTCGAAAACGTTGACAATGTCTGAACCTGTACCTTTGAAGAAGCGAATAAACACCACTATATCTTAGTTTCTGCTTTTGGAAACTGCAAGACTACACCTTCGAAAACGTTGACAATGTCTGAACCTGTACCTTTGAAGAAGCGAATAAACAACACTATATCTTAGTTTCTGCTTATTTGGAAACTGCATGACTACACCTTCGAAAACGTTGACAATGTCTGAACCTGTACCTTTGAAGAAGGGAATAAACACCACTATATCTTAGTTGCTGCTTATTTGAAAACTGCAACACTACACCTTCGACAACGTTGACAATGTCTGAACCTGTACCTTTGAAGAAGGGAATAAACACCACTATATCTTAGTTGCTGCTTATTTGAAAACTGCAACACTACACCTTCGACAACGTTGACAATGTCTGAACCTGTACCTTTGAAGAAGGGAATAAACACCACTATATCTTAGTTTCTGTTATATGGAAACTGCAACACTACACCTTCGAAAACGTTGACAATGTCTGAACCTGTACCTTTGAAGAAGGGAATAAACAACCTGGAACTACCGGTGCTCGTCTCAGTCTGATAAACACCATATAGCAATGCTGCACGTCGCCAGCAACAGACGTTTGAGTATCTCATTGATTGGTGGTTGTTTTGTTGTATAACGCCGCACTCAGCAATATTCCAGCTATATGACGGCGGTCTGTAAATAATCGAGTATGGACCTGACAACCCAGTGGTTAATATCATGAACATAGATCAACACATTTGGGATCGATGACATGCATCAACCAAGTCAGCGAGCCGAGTATATCGTGGAATATTATCGAAGGTTTTTTTCGTATTTATGTCATTGAATTACATATCGATCTGCCAGATGTACCATGTTCTAGCCAGTTGTACTGTTATTATGTACTCGTATATTTTATTGGTCTGATGTACTGCTATAATGTACTAGTCTGATGTATTGGTTTCGTGTACTGCTATTATGTACTGGTGTGATGTATTGGTCTCATGTTTTGGTCTCATGTACTGCTATGATGTACTAGTGTGATTTATTGGTCTCATTTTTTGGTCTCGTGTACTACTATGATGTACTGGTGTGATGTATTGGTCCCATGTTTTGGTCTTACGTCCTGCTATGATATACAAGTCTAATGTTTTGGTGTCATGTACTGGTATAGTGTACTGGTGTGATGTATTGGTCTCATGTACTGGTATAGTGTACTGGTGTGATGTATTGGTCTCATGTACTGGTATAATGTACTGGTGTGATGTATTGGTCTCATGTACTTGTATAGTGTACTGGTGTGATGTATTGGTCTCATGTACTGGTATAGTGTACTGGTGTGATGTTTTGGTCTCATGTACTGGTATAGTGTACTGGTGTGATGTATTGGTCTCATGTACTGGTAAAGTGTTCTGGTGTGATGTATTGGTCTCATGTACTGGTATAGTGTACTGGAATGATGTATTGGTCTCATGTACTTGTAAAGTGTACTGGTGTGATGTATTGGTCTCATGTACTGGTATAGTGTACTGGTGTGATGTATTGGTCTCATGCACTGGTATAGTGTACTGGTGTGATGTATTGGTCTCATGTACTGGTATAGTGTACTGGTGTGTTGTATTGGTCTGGTGTACTGGTATAGTGTACTGATGTGATGTATGGTCTCATGCACTGGTATAGTGTACTGGTGTGATGTATTGGTCTCATGTACTGGTATAGTGTACTGGTGTGTTGTATTGGTCTGGTGTACTGGTATAGTGTACTGGTGTGATGTATTGGTCTCATGTACTGGTATAGTGTACTGGTGTGTTGTATTGGTCTGGTGTACTGGTATAGTGTACTGGTGTGATGTATTGGTCTCATGTACTGGTATAGTGTACTGGTGTGTTGTATTGGTCTCATGTACTGGTATAGTGTACTGGTGTGATGTATTGGTCTCATGTACTGGTATAGTGTACTGGTATGTTGTATTGGTCTGGTGTACTGGTATAGTGTACTGGTGTGTTGTATTGGTCTGGTGTAATGCTGTAATGTTACAATGGCATTACATCTACGACGTCTCCTCATCCGCTACGCGAGAGGGACCTGTTCTAACTAAAACTGATGATTTTTGTTTGTTGTTTAACGCAGCAATATTCCGGCTATAAGACGGTGCAGATAGTGATGAGGATGTGCATCGATAGTTCTGCATCATCATTACTGGATATATATATAAACAAAGTTGCGACTAAAATGGACCTAAATTTCAATTTGTCTATTGTCTAAAATTCAGGGGTAGCCAAATGATTACCTTGAAAAATATCTTGCAGAGACTAAATTCTTTTCGTACACGTCTGTAGACACGAAAATAAACATGTCTGCTACTAATTGTACTCGCAAATAATTCCTCCAAAAGTCAACAATGAACCAAAATATATAAATATTAATGTAATTAGTATTTGATAAGCAAAGATATACCTATATAATCTCGTAACATATATTGCATCATTGTTCGAGTCACAAATAACAAAAATCAAGTACAGTTTCCACTAATATACAGAAGTAGTTATTTGATAAAAGATAATTTCATTTTTAATTTAATTTTGGCTACCTGCGCTATTGGCTCGACTTCTTAATGTTACCACTGGCTACCTGGAAAAAAATACTTGTAGCCATATGGCTCCATGGCTAGAAATTAAACTTTGAGGCCTGCCGGGTTATTGAGTGAGTTGTGTTTAACGCCGCTTTTAACAGTATTCCAGTTATACCACGGCGTGTCGGCTTAATGTGGGAGGAAAACCCTAGAAACATAATAGGGGCGAACCGGGATTCGAACCCACAATTTTAGGTTTCTGTCGTGCTCAAGGTACGCAAGTTTGCCCAGCGAATTGCGGCGCCCTTAGACGACTGTGCCACCCGTGCCCCCCAGTGAGTAAGAAAGTAATGTTTAGCAATGTTTAATCTATACAGCATTTCTCTTCTCATGTTGTAGACAGTTATATATGATAAGAATACTCGGTAATCTTCTATTTTCAATCAAGCTTTGAATAATAATATACACATATTATTGGTTGGTTTGTTGTTTAACGCCGCATTCAGCAATACTCCAGCTATAAGCAGGCGGTCTGTAAATAATCGAGTCTGGACCAGACAATTCCAGTGATTGATATCATGAGCATCGGTCCACGCAACTGGGATCGATGACATGCATCAACCAAGTCAGCAAGCCTGACCACCCGATCCCGTTAGTCGCCTCTTACGACAAGCATAGTCGCCTTTTACGGCAAGCATGGGTTGCTGAAGACCTATACTACCCCGGCTCTTCGCGGGTCACACAAATTGTAACATGCCAGTGTCACTACATTGCTAGATACTTTTCCTCGGCAATTGTGTTCCAAATATTGCACAGAACCCGGGCAGGACAAATAGGTACATTCAGATTTGTAAATCAGCAATGGATGATTGCTATCTTAGCCGACATTTTAACAATGACGTTTGTTTCTATATCATTTTGTTAAAAAATTGATTAATTGTTCGTCCACTGTTGACTGCAATGAACAAATTACATATCGAATTGTCGCTTTGTCTTCCTGGGTTCCAAAGTAGGTGTAGTCTTTTCCGTGGCAGTGCATCTTGCAAGATTCAGTTGTCAGATGATTTATGTCCTTCATCATCTCGTATGGAAGCAGACGCTCAGACCCATCGCGGTAACACCCAACATATTTGTGTTGAACTGTAAGAATATATCAATGGTGGTGATCAGTAGATGATTTATATATACACATACCATTTAAGTGAGTGAGTTGGGTTTAACACCGCTTTTAACATTATTCCAGTTATATCGCTGCGTGTCAGCTTAATGTGGGAGGAAAGCCCGAAGTGATGCAGGTCTCAGACATTTACCACTTCGGTGAAACCCAAAGCACGGGTATGGTGCTGACAAACCTAGAAACATAATCGGGGCGAACCGGGATTCGAATCCTCATTCATAGGTTTCTGGTGTGCCCAAGGGACGCAACTCTGCACAGCGAATCGCGGCGGATTAGACGACTGGGCCACCCGTGCCCCCCACATACTATTTGAAAGTATTAGGCAAAAGTGGTTGGCTATATGTGATGAAATAATTGGGTTAATTGAGTTAATATTAACGGTAGAATATTATAATCTAATATCGCCTCTCACACCATGTCTGAAGTCCATGCATAATTTAAGCTTTCTCACATGCATATAAAATGCTTGAGATTGTTGAAAAGGTTTATTTTTTTAACACTGAATTCCGAAATGCGAATCAGAAAATATGAAATATCTAACACGGCAATACGCTGATAGTTTCCTGAGGTTCTTTATATAAAGTTTGCAATAAGTAAAAATCAGTAAAAGACTGCCCCACAATGGCAGTTGTAAACACGTGTCAAGCAGCACCTACCATATCAACAGTGGCAGGTGTTGTAGCAGTCGACGTTGTGGTAGTCATAGTGGAGGTAGTGGTAGCTTATAGAGTTGTGGTGGTGGTAGTTGTAGTTGGTGGACTCTTGCTGGTGGTAAGGATAGGTGAGGAAGTCGTGGGCGGTGTGTTAGTCGTGGTCGTTGTGGCTGTTGATGCCAGACACATGTAGTTCGTCCCTGTTTCAACTGGCACACAAAACTCGTTCTCCCCGCACGGATGTCGGTGACAGCCCATCCCCCGGGACTCAGCCTGCAAACACCAAGATACAGTACTGACCCCCTAAACCTCATCAAAACTTACAAGAAATTGTGATGATTCCCCCCCCCCCCCCCCCCTCCCCACATAAAACCGTAACTATTTTTATTTAAAGTTGTAAATTTCTATTGAAATTTTGTTAATACGGCATTACCAAACCGCTTCTGTTTCGTGTAAGAAAGTGCATTACATGCAAAGTAAACTATTAACTACGCAAAGTTTGCTATGGATCACCCATAAGCAGTCAGACCCACCCCCGCCTCCACCATAAGGGTCACATCTTGTTAGATGCCAGTCGCTGTCCCCTTCGTCGATAAACACGGACTCGGCCATCATTTTGGAACAAGTTAAAGCGACTTTCTCATCTATGAACAGCACTCTTTCCCAATTACGCCCCTGCCACCGGCGTACTGTTCATGCACATTGTAATCTGCGTTGACGATGTAAAGGGGTCAAGGCCATCCCACTGAAGGGGCGGTAATACCACCAATGCGGTGTCGGTGTCGTCGTATGCTGTATGCTGATTGGGTGTCCCAGTGCCGTCGTCTTAATCTCCGTATTCAGTTTTTGCATTATCACAAGAACGGGGCAACAAAAGATATAAGTACATCTCAATTAGTTAATTTTCCCAGAATGGTTTATAAAATACTTATTAAATAAAAGCGACAGAACCATTTCCATAATCATAAGAAATATCTGCTCCGATTCCGACTATATCAGAAGCATGTGTTAATGAATCACTACCAAATAGTGATGACACCAGGTGTTCGCAAAGACACCAATACACGAATTAATCTATGTTATGAGACCGCCTCCGTGGTCTTGTGGTAGAACTACCACCCGGAGGGCTTCGCTCCCCGGGCCGCGCCATTCCAAAAGACGGTAAAAGATGGTACTTGTGATGGTTCCTTATTCAAGTGTATTGTAGGCCAGATGCTCATGATACGAACGGTAAATGTAGTTCGAGGATCACATTTATGTATTTAACAATGATTGTCTAAGACACATGGCTTTAACATGAACAAAGAAAGACTTTGTACAGTTGCTCGATGGACAGATGACATAAGAATGTTGAACCTTGGCCTTGTTGGGAATTCTTAATATTTTCTTGGTATAAATTCTGCCCTCAGAATCTGGTAACATTTACATATTAGAATAAAATGGTACTCATCTTCAACATAGTTGTATTTACATGCTTTGCAAACGCGTTCCACTCTAGGTTCCATTTTGAGTCTACCAGATTCGATCCGAAGATGATGGGAACTACACCGCATGTCTAAATTTATCTTGTGGTTACATAGTAATATATATTTCCATGCCAAACGTTTGCTTATACAACGAATGGCTATGTGATTTAGAGCTTTCGGAAAGAGTGGCATACCAGTCTTGTTTATATGACGATTTTAATCTGCACAGAAATTCATTTATAAACATTGGGTTATTCGTAATACATTGATGCTCCCACACAAGGCCAAAACCTGTTAGCTGAATAATACTTTTAATTTTTTAACCCAATTAATTTTACCATTTTGGAGCGCCTGAAGTTGCATGGTACAACTTCTTTTGGCATATCTTGAATCTGAGTTGTTTAAAATATTACATCAGTATTTAAAAGCTCTTTTATACGCATAAATATACAGCAGAAAACGTCCACATTCACCTCTCACAACATGACTTGAGGTTGAGTTTCGAACTCCTAAAAATCGTTTACAAGCAATCATATGTACCGTCTCAATTTCGTTACAGGAATCCATATTTCAGACCCATATAACATTACAGGAGTGATTCTGGTATCAAAAATTTTAAACAAAATATTAAACGATAACGGCTTCAGATTTGCCAAAGATGTAAGTACTCCAAAAGATACTTTCTTTGCTTGTACATGTTTACCCCATGATAAAGACCTGGTAAAGGTTAAGCCTGAATATTTTTAGGAGTTTTCACAATCGAGCTCGACTCCATAAAAAAACCATTTTTCATGACTTGATAAGATACCAACTCTTTTAAAAACAACAACCTTGTTTTTATCTCTAAATTTAAATATAAATGATATTCATCGCAAAACAATTTCAATGTATTAATACGTTGCTGAAGTCCACACACTATCAGAAACAAAAATGTTATCATCATCAAATAATAACAAAAACAAGTTGAACAAGATCGGGATGTAGTTGTATTCCATGCGAACATGATCATTCTATATCTCTTGCCAGTTTATTGATGAACATAAAAAAACAACATTGTGTGTAATACACAACCTTGTCTGACACTGGCCTTGACACGTTCATAGATAGATTGTAAAGACTTCACAAATTTAGGAGAGACTCCTTGCTGAAATAATTCAGATATATTTACAAGATCAAAAGCTTTCTTAAAAGCTACAAATAGTGCATATATCTTCCAATGTTTTTTTGTAAGTACTGTTGAATAACTTGTAGTATGCCTATATTGTCTGTTGTACTATACCCCTTGCGAAAACTAGTTTGCCATTCAACTATCTTGTCATAGGCGCTGGCCCAATATGATAATCTATTTTTTAATACTGCTGAGTTTACTAAATACACTTGATAGAGTTTATTCCTCTATGATTATTGGGAGATAATACATCACCCTTTTATACAAAGGGATTATTATACCTGAACACCAGGCCTTTGGAAATTTCCCAGTGTCAAAAGAAAGAAAATCAACAAGTACAATATAAGGGACCAGAATATTTTGAGCAGCTACAAAAAACTCTTGGATTATATTATCCAGTCCAGCAGGTTTTGAACATTTAAGTTTTGAGATTGCTTTTGATATTTCTTCTTGTGAAATCGAAGAGTCCAAGATAGAGGTAGATGTATCATCAGGTTTATGAACAGCCTCATAAACATTATTATCCTCGTCGTCATCATCACCCATACAGTATGTTGCTTACCAGAAATATCCAACAATTTTTAAAGTGCTCGTACCAAGTGTCAATACGTATTGGCGATTTATTTATTTAGTTGTTGATGTACAGTGTTTCAACGTCCTCCAAAAGGATCGGGCATCGTAAATATAAGCTAACAATTTGTCTTTGATCATTTCTACATACACGATTTCCTTTCATCCTGATAACCCCCGTGTACATATTGCGGGCTGCAATGAAGCTCTGTAGATCTATATGAGCCTTTAAATGTCTCACTGTCTTCAAAAGTCTATCTCTCTCCATCCTATAAAACGCACATTCCTCATCATACCATGGCTGGGATACTCTTTGTGTGTGTACATGTTTTTATACTGTCTGCTGACATACAAATTGCTGAAGTAAGTATACTTATAGCGGAGTCAATATCATACAATGCTTCATCACAGCATGTCATTAACATTTCAGAAATAGCTGGAGACAAAATACTTGTTGTTACCCTGCCTGCCGCTCGGCATTAAGGGTCCAAAAGAAGGACTGCTAGGCTTGGAGTCTGAGTGGGGTATTCAAATTCCGCGTAAGTCCGGACTAGTACAAGCAGACACAGACACAGACACAGACACACAGACACACACACACACACACACACACACACACACACACACACACACACACACAGACACACACAGAGTGAAGACAACATTAAAACCAATTTCACCTCACCACCTATTATATCAATGAGTGACTATATTACAATCACCAGCAAAAAACCTTACTCTTGTATCTGACTGTTGTTACGTTGTTGAACTTACCCCATACTTTGTAAGTGGCATCATCTCTGTCACTGTGTCTCCTTGTGTGTGCAGGTGGCAGCTTCTTGTGGCAGCATCCCAGGTGTAGGAGCCACACCTAGTTGTGTAGGCACACAGAGAATCACACACCAGCGAGGAAGGAACCACCCTGGTAAGGAACCACCCTGGTAAGGAACACCTCCTCGCCTTTACATGTGACGTGACTACATATCATGTAGACTGTAAATACTCCAACTACAAACATATACATAGCTGAGGGTACTTTCAGACTTGACTCACCCCCACTGCAGCTGAGCATTGAGTGACATTGAAAACAGTAGCGTAGAGCTTTA